GGGTCTGCCCCTGCGAATCAGACGGTGCGGTCTCGTCGCGCTCTGGGTTGCACCTCTCACGGTATACCTCGCGGGCCCAACTCGCCATCGCTCGGACGTCCATTTCCCGTGCATGTTTGGGTTTCGTGTGTGTTTTTTGCTCGATGGTCCAGGATGGCCCTGGATGGTCCTCGACGAAAAAATGCACACGTCCGAGCGATGCCAGGACAATTCCTACCTCCGCCAATGGGAAACACGCCGCCAACTCCAAAGGTGAATATGCAGTCTCATTGTCAAGATGGGCGAATAGGAATAGGAAAGGAGAAACAAGGAGAGAGCGTCAAAAAGGACAAAGGAGCAAAGAGGTAGAGAAAGAGATGTGTGTATAGACGTGTAAATATACAGAAACCAGAAACGGAGAGTGCGGGGACAGCGAGTGTGAGGGAGAGAGAGAGAGAGAGAGAGAGACAGAGGGAAACAACCAAACAGACAGACAGACAGGCAGACAGAAAGAAAGAGCGAGAGAGAGAGAGAGAGCGCACCACATACATCGATACACCTATATATATATATATATATATATATATGAGTATGCAGTTATGGGGGCGAGAACAAGAGAGAGAGAGAGAGAGAGAAACAAAAAACACTGAAACCATATACGCTTAAACACACACACACACACATCATCCTGGCGAAAGACCCAGCCAGATGCGCTTGGGACTACCACCGTTTCCAAATAACGCTTTCGCTGGAATTCACTACGGGGCCACGAAAACCGTGAAGGGAGAGCCGACATCAGGCGGGGCCGCTGTGCTAGCGCTGGCGGTCGCCAGCAGGGGGCACGGAGGTCAGACGAAACGGGTTGCGCACATGCTGATGCAACCCGTTTCGGCTGACAGGCACCAGGAGAAGCGACAGAAAACATGCGGGCACAGCGCGCTTGCGCAGCCACTGGGGGATTCGGCGGAGTTCCCTATGGGGGCCACGAAACGTGTGAGGGGTGTGACAAAGTGAAGGGGGGTGGCATGCCAACGCAGCCACTGGAGCTTTCGGTGAAGCTCCCTACGGGGCGACGAAGCGTATGAGGGGTGTGCCGACGTGCGAACGCAGCGACTGGGGCCTTCGGTGGAGCTCCCCATGGGACCACGCCCCGTGTGAGGGGTATGCCCAAGTGACGGGGGTGGCGACATGCGAACGCAACCACTGGGGCCTTCGGTGGGGCTCCCCACGGGGCCGCGTAACGTGTGACGGGTGCGCCAAAGTGAAGGGGGGGGGCATGCGAACGCAGCCTGTGGGGCCTTCGGTGGAGCTCCCTTCGGGGCGACGAAGCGTACGAGGGGTACACCAAACATGCGAACGCAGCGACTGGGGTCTTCGGTGGAGCTCCTGGGGCCACGAAATCGTGTGGATGGTGTACCAAAGTGAGGGGGGAAGCGTTCGAACGCAGCCAATGGGGCCTTCGGTGGAGCTCCTTATGGGGCCACGTAACGTGTGAGGGGTGCGCCAAAATGAGGGGGGTGGCGACATGCAAACGCAACCACTGGGGCCTCCGGTGCAGCTTCCAACGTGGCCGCATGCGAGGTGCGTCGTGCGTCTAAGTGAAGGGTTGGCGGCATGCGAACGCAACCACTGGGGCCTCCGGTGCAGCTTCCAACGGGGCCACGAACCGTGTGGGAGGTGTGCCAAAGTGAGGGGGGGGGCATGCGAACGCAGCCACAAGGGCCTCCGGTGGAGTTCCTGATGGGGCCACGGAGCGTGTGAGTGGTGTGCCAAAGTGGGGGAAACATGCGAACGCAGCCACTGGGGCCTCTGGTGGAGCTCCCCATGGGGCCACGTCACGTGTGGCTGGTATGCCAAAGTGGGGAGGAGGTGGCGGCATGCGAACGCAACCACTGGTGCCTTCGGTGGGATTCCCGAAGTGGCCACGAAACGTGTGAGGGGTACGCCTAAGTGAAGGGGTGGCGGCATGCGAAGTCAGCCGCTGGGGCTTTCGGTGGGGCTCCCCACGGGTCCGGCCAAAGTGGGGGGGGGGGGGGCGGCATGCGAACGCAGCCACTGGGTCCTTAAGTGTAGCTCCTATGGGGTCCATGAAACGCTTGAGGGGTGTGCCAAAATGAGAGGGGGCGGCGCGTGAACGCAGCCACTGAACCCTTCGGTGGAGTTCCCGAGTTCCCTACGGGGCCACGAAACAGGTGAGGGATGTGCCAACGCGGGGGGTGGGGGGGGGCGGCATGCGAACGCAGCCACTGGGGCCTTCGGTGGAGCTCCCTACGGGGCCACGAAACGCGCGCGGGGCGCGCCAAAGGAGGAGGGGGGAGGAGAGGAGGAGAAAAAGAGGAGGAGGAGGAGGAGGAGGAAGAGGAGGAGGAGGAGGAAGAGGAGGAGGCGGAGGAGGAGGAGGAGGAGGAGGAGGAGGAGGAGACGCGGGGACTGTCTCTTCGAAACGAGGACCCAACGCCACAGGATGGTTGGGAACCCTGGCCTGGCGAAGGACCCAACCGTGCGCAGCCGTGAGTACCGCGGTAGTGAGTATCGTCTTCGGTGAAGCTCCTTCTGGGGGCACGAACCGTGTGAGGGGTGTGCCGAAGTGGGGCAGCGGCGGCACGCGGGCGCTGCCACTGGGGCCTTCGGCGGAGCTTCCTATAAGGCCTTCGGCGCTTTTTCCTCTGTCCGTGATCTGCTCGATGGGGGGGCTTGAAGAAGGCAAGACCGTCCAAAATTGGCCTTCCTTTCTTTTTCTCCCTCTTTGCCCGCGCGCTCCAAAGTCCAAGGCTGCGGGCGTAGCGCGGCGCAGAGCCCCGCGACGCGCGCCGGTCGCCCCGAAGGGGTCCCGACGATGCGCGCGGGTCGCCCGCTGCGCGGAGCAAAAAGGACTGGCTGGCTGGCTGATAGCGGGCAAGGCTCCGGCCACTGGGCAGAGCGACGACGGGCGAGCGAGGCGCTGGGCAGAGCGCAGCAGTCGCCCCGAGAGGATTCCAGCGACGCGCGCGGGTCGCCCGCGGCGCGAGGCAAAACGGTTGGACAATCGAGAGAAGGCGCTGCTCGGGCAGGCCAGCTCCCCCAGTCCGGCCTCGCAGATAAACTCTCTGAAGCCTAGCTTCCTGGCGAAGGCCTTCGCCTCCCTTCTGCACCGCCACGTGCGCGCCGCCAACTGCTCCAGCTGTTTCCTAAAACCTGCTGGCGACCCGGGGCCTTCGGCCCAGCTCCCTCCGGGGCCACGAACCCTGTGAGGGGCGTGCAGAAATTTGCATGCGGCGGGCGTGGTGGGCGCATGCGGACGCTGCCGCTGGGGCCTTCGGTGGAGATCCCTATGGGGCCACGAACCGTGTGAGGGGTGTGCCGAAACAGGCATGTGGTGGGCGGGGAGGCAGCATGTGGACGCTGCCATTGGGGCATTCGGTAGAGCACCCTATGGGGCCACGAAATAGATGAGGGTGTGCCGACATGGGCATGCAGTGGGCGGGGTGGGCGCATGTGGACGCTGCCACTGGAACCTTCGGTGGATCCCTATGGGGCCACGAACCGTGTGAGGGGTGTGTGGACATGGGCATGCGGTGGGCGGGGTGGGCACATGTGGACTCTGCCACTGGCGCCTTCCGTTGAAATCCCTATGGGGCAACGAACCGTGTGAGGGGTGTGCCGAAACAGGCATGTGGTGGGCGGGGAGGCAGCATGTGGACGGTGCCACTGTGGCCTTCGGTGGAACTCCCTATGGGGCAACGAGCCGTGTGAGGGGTGTACCGACATGGGCATGCGGTGGCTGGGGCTTCGGTGGAGACCCCTATGGGGCCACGAACGTTGTGAAGGGCGAGCCGAAATTAGCATGAGTTGGGCGGGGAGGGCGCATGTGGACGTTGCCTGCGGGGCGGGGCCACGAACCGTGTGAGGGGTGTGCGGACATGGGCATGCGATGGGCGGGGTGGGCGCATGTGGACGCTGCCACTGGGGCATTCGGTGGAGATCCCTATGGAGCCACGAACCGTGTGAGGAGTGTGCCGACATGGGCATGCGGTGGGCGGGGTGGGCGCATGTGGACGCTGCCGTGGAGATCCCTATGGGGCCACGAACCGTGTGAGGGGTGTGCCGAAACAGCCATGTGGTGGGCGGGGAGGACGCATGTTGACGTTGCCACTGGGGCCTTCGGTGGAGCTCCCTATGGGGCCACGAAACAGGTGAGGGGTGTGCCGACATGGACACGCGGAGGTCAGGGGCACGCAGGGAGGAGGGAGGAGGGGGAGGAGGAGGAAGGAAGGAGGAAGGAACGCGGGGCGCTGTCTCTTGAAAGCGAGGAGCCACACAGGATGGTTCGTAAACACATAACGAGAGACAGAGAGAGAGAGAGAAAGAGCGAGGCGAGACAGAGATAGAGAGAGAGAGAGAGAAAGAAAGAAAACAGAAAAGAGGTGGGGTAACTTAAGTCTGTTCTTCGGTCGCCATTCTATATTACGCATGTTAATGATGTTCGCGTGAGTCGCCTGAATAATTTGGGTGGATATCCCGCCGTGTAGATGTATACAGATATGCACGCCGATATGTATGTGTGGATACACATACGGGTGTGTACGTACGTCCACCTCGTCCCCCTTGGCACCCACACGTGAAATATCATGTGATGATCGTCCTCCTCCTTCTCTCCCTCCTCTGCATATCCGTTGCCGCCTGTCTTCCTTGGTCCCCTGGTTTTCAATTCCACTCCAGAGCAGCCGCAGCAGATAATGAGGACCAGGAGCGCGAGAAGGATGAGGAGGGCAAGGACGCTGGGGGAGAAGGGGCAAGAGGATACAGGGAAGGGGGGGGAAAGGAACGAGGCCCAAGAGCAATTGCACAAATCGCAGAAGCAGCAGCCGCAACCTGGCAGCCCGCAGCGGCGTCCCCAGCCGCGGCCGGAGGATGACGAAGAGAAACGTTCGATGGAGCCGCGGGGACCCTGAGCGCCTGCGCATGGCATACCTCAGGTATGTGCGCACGTTTAGGTTTATGCCATCATTCGTTCCTCGAACATCTTGGTCTTGACGGAGGGACGGAGGGGCAGCAGCAGGAGCGGCAGGAGGAGCAGCAGAGGGGGGCATCAGCGCACTGGCAGCGACAGCAGCAGGGTCAGCATGACCTGAATCACGGTCAGTCGCAGGAGCAGTGGCAGAAGCAAGACCAGGAGATGAGCAGGACGATCGGGTAGAGGAGGAGGCGGATGAGGAGGCGCCCACGCTGCTGAGTGACAGCTGTCAAAATTATGCCGCTGAAGCCCCCGCCCAGCCTCAGGCAAAGAAGTGGGCGACCAGCGCCGCCAACACAAAGGCCAGACCTAGGCCAAAACGCGGCTTTGCCGCACTCCACGTGCACTGCATGCGCTCACTGATGACTGGGCCGACCTGGGTCACAATCTCATCCGCGGATTCCTGCAGACCGGCACACTGAGTTGTCGCGAGCGACATGAAGTCCTTGACGAGGTCAATCGTCTCAGGCGTCATGGGGTAGATCTTGCTCATGTGCGGCAGCATCAGCTCGGACATCTGCCAGATATTATGCAGGGAGGTGTGCATGGTCGCAAGCTTTGTGTTGTAGTCTGTAATGTTGGACATAAGACCAGAGATCTCGTTGCACGCGTCTGCCTGGGACGCGGCCGCCAGCGCGCTTGCATTCACGCGCAGCGGGACCGCCTGCTCGCGGAGCTGTTTGATGATGGGCATGAAGGCCTGACGCAGCTCCCTCGGCATGACGACGTTGAGGTCCCTGGCGAGCTTCTGCGCGTCCGCGTGCATGGACTTGACGCGGAAAGACGCCTCGTGGAAGTATCGCGTCATTAAGAAGGACAGCTCCACGTCGGAAGCCCTGCCGCTCGCCAGAGCGAACTTTGCAGTCTTGCGGCGGGTGATGTTCAGGAAGTCCTGGACGGTGTTGGCGATTTCTATCTTGGCCTTGTTGATGCGTTTCATAAAAAGGGGATTCTCTGTGGCCTTCGGGAGGGCCATCATTACCTCAACCATGATGCCCAGAGTGACTTCGCCCAGCATGCCCGACATCTCTGAATTGGCCTTCGCCCCCATAAGCATCTGCGCCTTCTTGATCATCGCCTCCTTGGCCGCGCGATGGGCCTCAATCTTGGCCAGACGCTCGTCCTCCTTCGCCCTCTTCCTGTCCAGAATGACCTTGCGGCGCTTCTCTGCCTCCTTGCGCAGGTCCTTCATGGCGAGTGTGGCTTCTTTCTTTGCGAAATCAAGTTCCTTCTGCTTATCCTTGAAGCTCCGGAGCGTCCTCTTCAGCGCTTCAGTCTTCTTCTTGAAGTCAGCCTTCGCTGTGATCCGAAACGTTCAGAGCGCTTCCTCGCCACTTTCGAATCGCGTTCTGGCAAGAACAAAACTGGAAACTGATCAAACGGTTCTCGACATTTCAGTTTGCTTGCGCTGGCCCCACGCATTACAATATTCCAAGGTGAGTGTGTGTGTAAGCTGTGTGGTGTAAGCTATGTTGTGCAATCTCAATGGTGCAAGCTACGTGCCCATGATGTGCAAGCTACGCGGTGCAAGCTTTGTGGTACAGGCCATCTGGTGTAAGCTACGTGGTGGAGGATACGCAGTTCAAGCTACATGGTGTAAGCAGTGCGGTGCCAGGTGAGCGGTGCAAAAATATCTTGGTGTAGGCAATGTGGCGCAAACTACGTGGTTTGCGACTCGTGAGGTGTAAGCTTGGTGGTGTAAGCTATGTGGCGAAATCCCTGGTGCAACCTACGTGGTTCAAACGAGAAGCCAACGAGGCGGTAGCCCACGAGGCGGTCACGAGCGGGCGCTGGGCGGAACCTCGGCACACCCACTCGGCGAGCGAGGCGCCCACCTGGCGGCCACAGGCTGGCGCCAAACCGAAACCTCCGCACACCCGCTCCGACAAGGGACGCCCTTGAGGCGCCCACGGGCGGGCACAAGCTGGGCAAACAGCGATACCTCGGCACACCAATCCGATTCCTCTGGTTACCGGAATCGCCTCTACGTGCAAGCACTGCTCGAGGAGCTGAAACATCGGGCAACGATAAGAAAGACCTAAACTCCAACGCTGCAGGAGAACACACGTGGCGAACTCACACCAAACGGGACGTGATTGGTACGCGTGGCCGATGCCGCAAGCAACCGGGCACGGCACCTCACGGCACGGCGCGCGAGTACCGCACTGCTGATTTGTCCATCCTGCAGCCTTGGCACGGCACGGCACGGCACACCTCTTGCGTGCTACAACGAGGCCACGGCACGGCACGACGCGGCACGTGGGCACGGCACGGCCCCGGAACTTCTGCGCGGCACCCGGCAGCACATTTGTTCTCGCACGCTAGAACCTCAGCGCGGCACAGCACATGCTTCGCCTTCTGGAGCCTGGGCACGGCACGGCACGCGCGAACGGCAAAGCACCACTCCTCGCATCCTAGAACCCAGGCGCGGCACGGCAGGGCGCGGCACGTTTTGTGCACGCGCGGCGCGGAGCGCGGACATGGCACGCCACGGCACATTTACTCGCGGTCCATAGTCTAGGCACATCACGGCACGGCAGATGCTCCGCATTGTAGATCCTAAGCAGGGCACGCAAGCACGCAAGCACGACAAGACGCATGGTTCGCATTTTCTACTACCTAGGCACGGCACGGCATGGCACATTTTTCCGCATTCTTGAACCTAGGCGCGGCACGGCACGGCACGCGGACACTGTACGTCACTCCGAGGGTAGATTTCTCACACTCTCTGTTTCAGAAACGGGCTTCTTAAACGCAGTTCGAGCCCTTCACAAGAGTCGCTATTCAGGGAAAGACTGGCGTTGAAAACGGCAGCTCCAGAAGGTGCAGGGGCGGTCAAATCCCACCAGCCCTCTGGGCGCAGGTGGCTCAGCGAGGTCGTTCTTCAAACCCCCTTCTTCCCCTCCAGGGGGTACCCCTCCCCCGACTCCCGCCCCAGAGGTTTGAATCAGGATTTCAAGATGCGTCTGGGTGTAATTTTGGGCCCAAGGTGGCTCCAAGGTGGCCCCAGCTAGGTAGCCTCCGAGATGGCACAAGAGTCCAGCATAGCTCAGGACAGCCTCCAGTCTGCCCCCAAGAGACCCCAGGCCCGCCCCAATTGGCACCCGGGGCCTCCCAAGACTGCCCCCGAGACGCCAACATCGCTTGAGAGCCTGAAGAATACGCATCTGCGCGTCTGATAAAAGACGAGGACACGAAATCCGACACACGCCAACACACATTATATATATATATATATATATATATATATTATATAATATATATATATATAATATAAACAAATAGGCCCCCCCCCCCCGGCGGGGCCGCCCACTCCGCAACCATCGGGGAACGCTTTTTAATACCCCCTCCCCGGGGCCTCCAAGGAGCCTCCAAGGAGCCTCCAGACGACCCAAGAGGCCTCCAAGACGGCCCCAGGAGGCCCCCAGGATGGTCCAAGAGGGCCCCGAGGCGGTCCCAGATCGCTCCAAGACGCCCAAGATGGTCCCAAGACGGCCCAAGGGGCCTCCAAGACGCCCCAAGAGGCCTCCAAGAGGCTCTCCAAGAGGGCCCCAAGAGGCTCGAATCGTTGATTTTCCATTGTGTTTTTCGATGTTTTTGGCTTTCTCTCCTTTTGGGCTCCCTGGCGCTCCAAGACGGCCAAGAGGCACCCAAGATCGCCCCAAGACGGCCCAAGAGGCCACCAAGACGGCCCCAAGACGGCCCAAGAGCGCCCCGGGACCGCTTAAGAGGCCTCGAAGACGGCCCAAGAGAGTCCCAACACGGCTCCAAGAAGGGGCCCAGACGCGGGATCCGAGCGCACTTTACGGGCCCTCGGCCCCAAGAGCATCCCCAGAAACCACTAGAGGCTCCCAAAGGCCCCCAAGAGCCCCCCGGGAGGCCCCCAAGAGCCCCCGAGCAGGCACCGAAACGAGCCCCATGCGATTTCGGACACTTTCATATGCGTCGTCGTCGTCGTCATCGTCTTCGTCGTCGTCGTCATCGTCGCCGTCGTCGTCGTCGTCGTCGTCGTCGCCGTCGCCATCGCAGTCGCTGTCGTCGTCGGTTCGAGGACCAGGTCTCTGTCCTCATTGCCGTGCGCGGCCATCATGTCAATAGCGATCCCAGGTTTCATTCCCTGCGTCGCCGGCGCAGGGAGCCCCAAGACGGTCCCCCAAAGGACGCTCCCAAGAAGCCCCCAGCAGCTCCCGCGGCACCCAAGAGACGCCGAGAGGCCCCCAAGAGGCCTTGCAGAGACTTCAAGAGACCATTGGGAATCACGTCCTGAGAGGCCTCCAAGACGCCCCTACTTCACGATCCATGTCAGGGGTGTGCCGACATGGGCGGGGCGGCAGGATGCGACCCTTGTTTCCGGGGCCGTCGGAACAGCTTCCTTCGGGGCACAAGCTGTGTGCGGAGCGAGTCGAAATACGCGGGGAGACGCTGGGCGAATTCTCCCAACAGAGCCGTGTGAAAGGTGTGCGATAGGCGGAGGGACGCCGTGCTTTTCTGTCCCTGGCACCGTTCGTGGAGTTCTGGGGGGAGGAAGGAGGTGAAGGAGGTGAAGGAACACAAGGAGGGACAGATTGAAGAGAGCGGGGAGGACAGGGAGGAGGAGGAGGAGGTGAATGAACAGGGATCCACTTCAGGGAGACGGCATCGAGGAGAAGAAAGAGGAGGAGGAGGAGCAAGAGGATAGGATGATGGGGAGAGATAGAACGGAAATGAGGAGGAGGGGGAGGGGACTGGAGTAGACCGATGATGATGACGGCGACGACGCTGATGATGAGGATGACGAGCACAACGACGGCGCCGACGAAGATGATGATGATGATGATGATGATGCTGATGCTGATGCTGACGATGATGATGCTGATGATGATGACGACGACGATGATAGTGAGGACAACGATGACGACGACGATGATGACGATGGTGCTGACGATGCTGACGATGATGGTGGTGATGATGATGGTTGTGCTGGTGATGGTAATGGTGAACACGACCATGACGATGACTACGATGGTGATGATTGCGATGATGACGATGGTGAGGATCCTGGCTAGAACTTGAGCGCGCGCGAAGCGCGCGCGATGGTTCTAGTATATATATATATATAGACATATGCACATATGAAGGCCGGGGACCCCAGACCGAACACACTCGGAGCGCACTCGGACCTCGGCCCCCCCCCCCCCCTGGCACACATCCGACCCTGCAGGGCGTTCCCCGAGTCTTCTGGGCCTCTCGGACCTCCCTGCGGGCCCTCGAGGAGGGGCCCCTGGCCATCGCTCGGACGTCCACTCCCTGTGCTTTTTGTCGGTTTCGTGCATGGTTTTTTTTTTTTTTTTCGCAGGATGATCCAGGATGCTCCTCAATAATCCCCGCCGAGAAAAAGTGCACACGTCCGAGCGATACCAAGGCCGAGGACGGTCAGGAGGGTGGCCGAGCGGCCCCGCGAAAGCCCCAAGCAGCCCCAGATACCCACCAAACGCCGGAAGACGGCTTAGAGAATACCCCCAAGAGGCCCTCCAAACACAGAGAACATTTGTTTCCCACTGGTTGTCGTGTGGTGTTTTGATACTCGGTTCGTCGGTCTTCCGGGCGTTTGAGACTGGTCAAGAGGCTCCGAGAGTTATCCCCGAGCAACTCAACAGAGCTTGCACACAGTCGAAGAGCCCCAAGACAGCCCGACAGGGCCCCAAAAATGCTAACAAAGAGCCCCCTGACAACCCAGCATGGCCCCAAGACGCCTCCCGAAGCACCTAAAATGATGACCCGGTCGTTGAGGGAGACCGCGGTTCGCAGCAAGGTGGCCCGATGAAGCCCCGAGAGGCCCCAAGAAAATGCATTGAAAATGATTCGATCTGCTTTGAAAAACCTTTCACGGAGAAGCCTCCGCAAAAACAGCTGAGGAGGAAGGGGAAGGGTTCTCAGAGTTAGGCGAGAACTAAGCATAGGATGAGGAAGAGGATATATGATGGAAAAAGAAGGAAGCACAAATGATACTGACGATGACAAGACGAAAACGGCAACAACTTAACTGACACATGGGGCCATACTTTATAAGAAAACACACAGGGGGGCACGTGCCACCTCGAAAAACGTGTTTGAAAATTAGAAGCACCAACTGGTCCACGTACATTTTGAACCCCGAACTGAGGTTACACATGGTTAAAAGATGCAAGGGTGACACGCGCAACCAATACACCGTGTGAAGTGTATGCTGAACGCCAACATGGGGTCATGCGTTGTAAGGAAGACACACGGGCGACATGTGTAACCCTGAAAACTGTAAAACAAAACCTTTGCCAC